CTCAAGGTAAAATGGACAAAAGCACCATCGTTCAGTAATGAACTACAGATCTCGAAGTGTTTCTCGACGCCACTGCTTCAAGATATTGCTTCCACCTTGGCAGCTCATCAGTTGAGTCTCCCTGGACACTGGAGGATAGACCAGGGACAAAATGGAGAAAAGCACCATCGTTCAGCAATGAACTACAGATCTCGAACTATTTCTCGAAGCCACTTTTGCTTCGAGATACTGTTTCCACCTTGGCAGCTCTTCAGTTGTGTCTTCCTGGACAACTGCAGGGTAAACCAGGGACAAAATGGACAAAGAAACCATCCTTCAGTAACAAAATGCAGCCCTCGAACCATTTGTCGAAGCCACTTCTGCTTCGAGATACTGCATCCATCTTGGCAGCTCGTCCATCCTGGTTCCCTAGACAGCTAGAGAATAAACTAGAGACAAAGTAGACAAAAGCACTATAATTCAGCAACAAGCTGCTGCCTTCGATGTATTTCTCGTTGCATCTTCTGCCTCGAGATACTGCATCCACCTCAACAGCTCATAAGTTGTATCTCCCTGGACAGTTAGAGGGTAGACTAGGGATAAAATGAACAAAAGCACCTTTCTTAAGGAACAAACTGTAGCCCTCGAAATAGTTCTCGACGCCACTTCTGCTTCGAGATACTGCTTCCACCTTCGCAGCTCTTCAGTTGTGTTTCCCTGGACAGCTGGAGGAAAGACTGGGGGCAAAATGGACAAAAGCACCATCGTTCAGCAACCAACTGCAGTCCTCGAACTATTTCTCGACGCCACTTCTGCTTCGAGATACTGCTTCCACCTTCGCAGCTCTTCAGTTGTGTTTCCCTGGACAGCTGGAGGAAAGACTGGGGGCAAAATGGACAAAAGCACCATCGTTCAGCAACCAACTGCAGTCCTCGAACTATTTCTCGACGCCACTTCTGCTTCGAGATACTGCTTCCACCTTCGCAGCTCTTCAGTTGTGTTTCCCTGGACAGCTGGAGGAAAGACTGGGGGCAAAATGGACAAAAGCATCATCGTTCAGCAACCAACTGCAGTCCTCGAACTATTTCTCGACGCCACTTCTGCTTCGAGAAACTGCATCCACCTTGGAGCTCATAAGTCTGTCTCCCTGGACAGTTAGAGGGTAGACTAGGGATAAAATGGACAAAAGCACCTTTCTTTAGCAACAAACTGTAGCCCTCGAAGTAGTTCTCGACGCCACTTCTGCTTCGAGAAACTGCATCCACCTTGGCAGCTCTTCAGTCGTATTTCCCTGGACTACTGGAGGACAGACTAAGAACAAAAAGTACAAAAGCACCATTATTCAGCAACAAACTGCAGCTCTCGAATTATTTCTCGACTACATTTCGGTTTCGAGATACTGCATCCACCTTGATACTTTTTCAGTCGTGTTTCCCTGGACAATTGGAAGATAGACTATTGACAAAATAGTCAAAAAGCGCTTTCATTCAGCAACTAATTACAGCTCTTAAGGTTTTTCTCTATTGTTGAGTTGAGAAAAATATTAGGTAGTTTGTTAAAGCAAGTTGTACTTATTTTTTGGTTTTATATTTAACTAACAATTATACTTGGTGCATCTCAGGGTTCAGGGCCCTCGGGAGCACTTTTTCACCTCCCCCCCTTCAATAGCCAGCACTGACTATAATAATACGAAACAAACTGTTTTTATACTGTCGTTGATGATTCAAACTGATGATTCACATAAAATTCCTGAATTCAGCTATCCAAATTGTTTTACAAATAATTCAGGATCGATTAGAGATCGATGATAGATGAACATCTCGAATGGGCTGTTGTATTAATCAAAACTTACCAACATTGAAAATCAAAGCTAATATTTGTTGTATATTTTAAGTAAAGTCTAGATAGTCGATATTTTGTACCATCCAGTTAATAAATAAATAATTAACCTACCTACAATCTAAAATATAAACCAATAAACTTTTGTTTAATACCTGGCATCTCAATCGTACCTATACGTAAGTACCCGCAAATATCAAAGTACAAAATATAAGAAATACCAAATGTTTATATGATTTTGCTATTTACATAACCTCACATTCAATAATTTTAAAAATACGGTTAAAATAGAGTAACAAGTTATGATTTCATGCTTACCGAGAACGTCGGCCATTTTCCCTGTGTAATAAATTGACGAACATGAAAAAAGTACTTCGTTTATTGTTCGCAAAAGCACTCCCGAAATTAGTCCAATTCACTCCCGCAGACAACTTATTGTTGCCCTAACCGTAAATGTTAATTACAAACAAGAATCTTTCACAGAAAGTTTGCAAAAACGCATGTAAGGGGCTCACATTTCGCCATTACACGATTCCGGCCGGCACTCAACCACGACACTTTCACGTGTGGTTTTCCGAATCACGTGGCAACTTGTTGCTTACCTATTCGTCGTTTTGGTGTAAGATGGCAGCACTAGAGGGAACTTCCTCATTTAAATTTAAAAGAAAAGGCGGTAGAAATCTGAAAATAAAGATAAAATAATATTAATAATAAAAAGTTATCTGCATACACATGTGTATAAATAACGTTGCTATTATATTTTTATGTTATAAACATGAATTTGAGTTGGGAATTATTAATAGCGTGATATAAAAATAATAATGAATAGACGAAAACAATTTTTGAATGTACCAATTAAAAAAGCAACTATTGTAGCCAAAAATATTCAATAACCATTTTTGCACAATTTATTGTTTCTAATAAATTTATTACTAATTGGTAAAATTGGTAGCACCATAATAAAAGCATATATATAAGCATCTCTTATTAATTGTTAATTGATGGGAAAAAAATAATTCCTTTTTTGAGAATAATATCATTATGCATGAAAGAAGGCGGAGAATGAAACAATAAATGAGTAGAAGCGGATGTCTAAGGAGTCGCTCTATTGAAACAATTTTAACGAATAAAAAGGCAAGAGGGTGGTAGAGAGTAACAGGTTTAAAGGTGTAAAAAAAACATGAATATCATCATAAGGTCAGCAATTCTAAGATACTCTTTTCTGCCCTGAGCCAATCTTCGTATTTTCCCAAATTCCCACATCCCTACTATTTGTGAGCAGTAACCTAATTTAGGTCTACTTTTGCCCCTCTTAACTCCTGTGTCCCCTTATAAAACGCCTCTAACTAATCCATCACGTCTGAGAAAGTGCGTTATCTCTCTATCCACGAAATATATGCTTTTATTTACTTTCATACCCTACTTTTTTTATCAATTCCGCTTACATTTTATTTAAGGCTATTTCAAAACTCTTTGTAAATGCCAATCTTTTTCCACTGTATATCTATCTTTAAGACTTGTTCAAACCTCAAAATCATAAGTAACATCTTGGCTTTCCTCTTTTAGTTACCTTCGTACTAATGTTTCAAGGGAAAACGTTCCGAAAAGAGAGTATTCTTGGAGCGCCGTGTGTGTTAACGTCTTTTGCTAGTAGAACATGACAACCAAAGGTATGACGAATACGTTTAGGTGGTGCGGGATACTGACAGAGGATGTGGATAACAGTTTCCATCTCCACCTCACAAAAGGAACAGAAAGAACTGGCGGTTATTCCCAGTTTGTTCCCGTGGTAGCACAGTTCTCCCCGAGATAAAAATGTTCAATCTCTCAGAGTCTCCGTCTCTCATCGAGCCTCACTGCTGTCGCTGAGAGAGACTATCGAGAGACTGTCAAAAAAACTGTTTAGCGTCTTTGAACGAGAGACTCGAGTCGCTCATAGGTAGATCCTCATTTCGTGTCCAGTCTCTGAACAAGAGACTCGAATCTCTGAACGAGAGAGTCGAATCTCTCAATAAGTGTCTCGATAGACATGGTTAAAATTTTCTGAGTTCAACATATTTCGGAGATCCCAGTCTTTCTACGAGAGACTCGAGTCTCTCAATTTTTCAGTTTTATTCATTCTGTCTCTCTGTGAGAAACTCGAATTTCTGAATTAACAATTTTATCGTTCGAGTCTCTCATGCAGAGACTGTGAGAGATCCATAAAAACACTTAGGCAATAACTGAGAGACTGTGAAAGACTGTGAGAGACGCTCTCAAAGACGCTTAAAGACTCTGAAAGACTCTAAGAGACTAGAGAGAGACTGAAAATTTTTGTCTAGGGTTCTTGGGCCTGCAAAGATTTCCACAGTCTTAACTTTTCTCCTGCCTCCAGTAGTGGCATGACCTAGAGGTTTAGTCTATTGCTGCCTTGGTCCAAGTTTTTCTGTGGTTTCCTTGGATCACTTAGGCAAATGCTGAGGCAGTAATATTCACACAGATAATCTTTCATTCTCTTCTGTCTTCATTTCGTCCGTCTCATCTTTCTCACCCGAACCACCACCCACCCATTCCCACGATTCCTGAAAAGGGACCTTCCGCCCTACCTTCCAGCGTAGTCTGGAGGGACTGCCCGCCCACCAGCATTAGTGGCTTGTAGGAATGATCCACCCAAAAGTTTCCTTTTTTTGGGGGGGAGATGATGGTCATTGTCTGCCTGCATCTTTGTTGTGTTCCCAGTCCCTATAGAGTTCTGAAACGGCCAATCTGGCAATTTCTTGCTTGACCAGGCTACTGTACATACTCACAACAGGTTCTAGACTAATGAGGTGTTGTTGGACACCTGCTTTATTAAGGTCATCTGCAAGTTCGCTTCCCTTTGTGTCGCGAAATCACCTTGCCTATAGTCGATAGTCCGTTGACGGTTTGATGACGGTCCTTTAACAGTTCTGACTTTGTTGAGTACTCTCTCAGGGTCTCTAGAGCAATTTTACATACAGTGCATATGTATATAAGCCCGGTGTTGCTATCGTCAAGTACTTCTTGTGTACGACAAGCTATGACGATTATTTCCGTCTAATTAAAAAGTATTTGTTGTTTAACTTTCCGATATATTTACGATAAAAATAAACTTGTTCCGATCTTACTTGCTAAGAACAGTGCTTTTAGGTATGTGTTATTATTTTCGTTTGTTTTTGTTTCAGGTCATATCTCTGGAAGGATGGTCAGATATCATGTACTACGTTCAGGACGCTCATAGCTTTTGGGATTGGATATACTTCGTTCTTCTTATTGTTGTAAGCGTTTGCAATATTATAGAATAAGTGAAAACAATTAATGTTAAGAGCAACTTAAGTTCGCATGATTTGATACAAACAGGCAATAATGGCTTAGGTTTGACGATTTTTCAAACCCTGTTTTAAAAAAGGCTTTATAAATAAATTGGTCACATAGTCGTATAAAGTTGTATAAATTCTAATAATGTCTTCTATTTGTCGATAGTTTCTCTTTGATTCTTTATTTTTAGATTGGTTCCTTCTTCATGATCAATTTGTGCCTAGTCGTTATAGCAACTCAATTTTCGGAAACGAAAAAACGAGAAATGGAGCGAATGCGAATGGAACGAGCAAGGTTCCAGAGTACGAGCACTTTGGCCTCGTCTACTAACAACAGCGAACCCACCACTTGTTACGCAGAAATAGTCAAGTATATCGCTCATCTTTACAGACGCCACAAAAGGAAACTACTGAAGAAAATTAGGCTTCTGAGGTACCGCAGGGATCAGATGAGGGAAGAAAGAATGATAGCCGGGGACACTATACGACTCAATTTTAATCGAAAACACCACCCTTGTTGCCCGAAAATAAAACAAATGGTAAATTACTCCGTAATACTAAATTAACGAATTTTCTAGTATCATTGTAGCATTGGACACGCACCTCTACACTTCCCTATCCTGAGCTAATCTTCGCATTTACCTAAAACTAGAACAATCCACCTCCTTAACTATTTACGAACAGTAATCTAATCTAGGTTTACCTCTACCCCTCCTAACTCCCGTTTCTGACTTTAATATGTCTCTGACCAAACCTTCATGCCTGAGAAAGTGTCCTACTAACCTATCTCGCCTATTTTTTATTGACTTCCATAGAGTCCTCTGTTCTCCTATTCTTTCTAATACCTCTTCATTTCTAACCTTTTCTACCCACGTTATCCTCATCATTCGCCTGTAACACCACATTTCGAACGCTTCTAACCTTGTCTTTTCTGTCCATGTTTCGCACCCGTCCAGCGCCGCACTCCAAACATACACCTTTAGCAATCTTTTTCGAATTTCTAAATTAATCGTTCGCGAGCATAGGAGTGACTTCTTTTTATTGAAGGCGACTCGACCCTGCAAAAAAAAAAACTTTTGGGTGTTTCATTCCCACCAGGCAGTAATGCTGGTGGGCGGGCAGTCCCTCCGGACTACGCCGGAAGGTAGGGCGGAAGGCCCTCTTCAGCCTGCTTTCAGGAATCGTGGGAATGGGTGGGTGGTGGTTCGGGTGAGAAAGATGAGACGGACGAAATGAAGACAGAAGAGAGTGAAAGATTATCTGTGGAATATTACTGCCTCAGCATTTGCCTAAGTGATCCAAGGAAACCACAGAAAAACTTGGACCAAGGCAGACGGACCCGGAATCGAACCGGCGTCCTCCCGAATGCTAAGCAATGGTCTAGACCTCTAGGCCATGCCGCTCGACCGTGCGCTACCTTCTGCTTTATATCCCTACCACTCCTTCCGTCCTGACTTATCTGACTTCCTAAATACTTAAAATAGGCCACCTCTTTTAATTTTTTGTCTCCTATATTTATCTTCGCTCTTTCCCTACTTTTTCTTCCCTTGCATACCGGTATTTTTGTTTTATTTTTATTTTTAGTTGCGAACGTACTTACTAAGTCACAGGTTCATCGAACTAATGTGTATATACTTATTAGTATCAAAAATTAAATGAATTTTCACATTAATATTAAATATTAACCACAATTAAAAGTTTCTTAAACTATTTCATGTGATATTAAAAATATTAATGTTTTAAAAACATCTCTACATAACTTATGTATCATTTACAGTCTATAATTCTTAATTTACTTGGTAATTATTAATTCTCGATAATTACCTTGGTTGTACAAATTAATCAATTTCTTTCAGTCAATTTTTTAACATTAGCGAATGTAATGAAAAAGTTTCGTATACATGAATATACAAGTGTACGAAGAATTTTTAGTTGTTGTTAAAAAAGAGGAGGTAACAGTAAAGCTTTTATAGGTACCCTTGACTTTGTAAAATAGAACAGAACGACCTTTTACTCTAAAACAGTGAGAAGACTAATGCATGCTGTAGAGTGTTTGCAATTTCAAGCTTAAAATAAATCAAAAAGAATGAATGCATTTCTTACAAAATCATCGCACTGAAGTTACCATTATCTCTGTACTTGCATTTCACAAATTTCCAACTAGAAGAATGTATGAACTAAAATTCATGCACAGTAAAAATGGTAGATACCACAACTAAGTAATTTTAGTCTTAAAAACATGAATTGAAATTGAAATACAAAAGCATTTATCTTAATTCCTTAAACATGGATAAACAAAAATTTATTGCAAAAAGTCAGAGTGAAATTAGGAACAAAAGTTACTTCATTATCGCAAACAACACCTACGTTTTGCCTTTATTGTATAAGGCTTCATCCGAGTAGATTGCAAGTTAATTTGAAGAAGCCTTACGCAATAAAGACGAAACGTAGTTGTTCTTTACTATAACAAAGTTTTTGTTCTCTTAATTAGCTTTGAAGTTTACAATAATATCTAAGGGAGGAAATGGAGATTGAAAAGATTAGAGATTAAGTATTCCTTAGTTTTGTTTTCACTCTCTTTATAAAAAACAATAAGAACTAACTTTTTAGTATCTAATAAAATTGTTTGTTCTGCTTTTTCAGTGTACAAGAAGTTTAAAAATTGAACTTTCTTTCATGTTAAACCATAAAAGAAGTTGTATGCATCTATCATATTGATCTTGCTATGTTTCAACTCGAATATGTTTTATAATAAGCGGTGATCTAAATATATTTATAATTTTAAATAAATAAATTATATTTTTACTCCAAAAAGCACCAAATTAATATTAATAGATTATCGGTCGGCTTTATAACGGGGGGGTTGGAATTATATCTCTAGACAAGAATTTTTGCTTTCATAAATTCCTGAGAATGTTGAACTTTCATTAAAGTCCGATTCTGGTAAGATGCTGAAATTCTGTTTGTTTGCATCTCTTTCTGTGATACATCAATCTGTGTAATGTTTTCCTTTTTCTTTATTAGTGTCCGCTGCAATTCCTACCTGACATCTCTTTTCTACGTTTATGATATTCCTTACAATGTCTGTCGTGAGTAAAAGTAATCGTTCTGTTAGTAACCCCTCTAGTCTAGTTAGTAAGTTAAAAGAAGAAAATAAATGCGACAGTTATACTTCGTTTACTTTCTGTAACGATGTGACCTTTAGTTTGACAGGCGCAATGTAGAAAAGAACAGCACTATGCCAGAAAAGAAAGGAGACAACTATCTGCCAAACTCTTAGACGGCGAGGAGCGTGTAATCCATACAGTACTGCACGGAAAAATTGACCATTTTATCCACTAAAATTGCATTGCTCAAATGTGGTGTTATTGGTACCAATTACTACTGAAAATATCAACGAGATGTTTATCTATATTTGAAGACATATTAAAGGCTTTAATAAGGGCGTCAGTCCTAAAACGCGCACCTCCACTCCTTCCTATCTTGAGCTAATCTTTGCATTTCCCTAAAATGTCCCACTCCTTAACTACTTGTGAACAGTAATCTAATCTAGGTCTACCTCTACCACCCCTAACTCCCGTTTCTGCCTCTAATATGTTTCTGACTAGACCTTCATGCCTAAGGTGTTCTATACTTTGTTTACTTTCTGTAGCGATGTGACCTTTAGTTTGACCGGCGCAAAGTAGAAAATAACAGCACTAGGCCAGAAAAAAAAGGAGACAACTTAGTACAGTACTGTACGGTTTAATTGACCATTTTATCCACTAAAATTGCATTGCTCAAATGTGCTGTTATTGGTACCAATTACTACTGAAAATATTAACGAGATGTTTATTTATATTTGAAGACATTCTAAAGGCTTTAACGGTTGTTTTCACTTGCACTACTATTCATGATTGAACAAAACTTTTGGCTGGTACTGTATGAAAAAATATGTTTAATGAACAAAGGCGAGAGTATAATGAGCTTTTTTCTCCCTATCTACGATTTTGCCAGCGCGCATCCAAGACACTGGAAGGGGCACATCGCTACAGAAAGTAAATGAAGTATATATTGCGGACTATGCCAATTTGGAACGTCCCAGCTATACTGTTTGTGTTGCATTAATGTTTTACTTGAAAGTCATCTTTGCCGACGTCTCATTAATATATTGGTAAAAGCTACGAGAATTTTCTTATTATATAACAAAATAGTCTCTTTTGAGATTGTACACTTTCGAATTTTAATGAAAACATAATGTACTCAGCTCGTATTACAGTTTTGAACTTAATATTAGATAACTGCGAGCCCCATTCAAGAAAACACCCTTTTTCTTCACTAACAGCCTTCATAAACATATTTTCAGCACTCTCGGTTATGCAAACTTTGTTTTCTTCCAAATGCACACCACCAAACAAAGTTTAATTAAACCCCGCTACGTAACCTTAATACAAGTACCTATAGGATACGTATGTATATGTAGGTAATGAAAGTTTAAGAGAAGGCGGAAAACTTTGAAAAGTTCTGTAATTACTTTGGCTCTTTATCTCTTCCCGATAGTCGTTTTAAATGCTTTTAGAGTCCGTGGAATTTTTTTAAAAGCCGCAGTTGCAGAGATTAAAAGATTCTGCTGTAACAACTCCGACATGTCAGCTAAACGTTTTACTTTTTTCTTTCTTTCGGTGGTAACTTTAGAAGAACTCAAACTTTTCATTAGCTAACTTTATCCGTAAGATCGTGACTAATTATGAATGTCACTTGGTAAATTGAACCTGAATATTACGTTACTTACAGGGTGTTACGAAAAAAATGTGAAAAAAAAAGACTGACGACCCGAATATTGAAAAAGTTGCTTTTCGAATTTTTGGATGCAATCAATTTTGTGGCTTGACGCTAAAAGGGCTAATGTCAATATTTTAATTATTTGAGTAAATCGTTGTGGTACAAGATCCCAGAGCCGTCAGACATAACTTGTTTTATGAGTAATCAAATGGGGGGAGGGGGTTGATGTATCACTGTTACTAAGTCCATTGAACGTATGTATACCTGTTACCCGACGGCCAATCTGGAGATATCAGGTGCTAAAAGAACATAAAAACATTACGCTAAATTTTACGTAATGTTTCACAGAATATTGTTAAATACTTAAACACTGCCAGTTACCTTATCGGCGGTAATTTCTGCCGAACGCTCTGGGATTTTGCTCTATTGCAATAGGTTCCTTTTCTTGTTCTGTTTTATATCTATGTTTAAACGGTCAATATCAAATTCAAAAATGATAATTGATAGTCAAAGTTTACTGAATTTTTGAAAAATTAAAAACAATATCGTACTATATTCAAGAATACTATTATACAGGGTGTCCCATTTATAATAATTAAAAAAAAAACCATGGGTTCCTGACACAAAATACAACAAAAAAGTGTTATACAATTTTTCAATCCAGTGACAATTGAGCTCGCAAATCGTCTTTGTAAATTTGAACGTACAATTTGTTTCATTACGGGCCTGGATCTAGGCGACCAACGTCGCTCAGCTGATCTAGTGTGGATGTAACAAGTACCTACCGGGAAGAAGCCGAATGCACTTCCACCTTGTAAAAAAAAGGTAAAAGTGAAAAAGAAAAGCGTACCTTTTATAAAAAATGTTGAAATTGTCCGCCATTCGCTTCAATGCAACACTGACAGCGGCGTACCCAGTTGCTGCGAATTTTGGCCAAGATACCGGGAATATTTCGAATTATACGATAGGCATTGGTAATGTAACTCACCACCAACTGACGGTTGAATAAGAACCCTACTAGAATGCACTATCACACTACTAATTGTCCTTATTGTAATAGTCTTTTATGAAATGACCACTAAATAAATAAACTAACACTAACAAACAAGTAAATTCCACAACAATCCAAAGCAAACTGAACAACCTGTTAGAAACTACGACATTATGTGTATTTATTCCAGTCACTTCCAGCAGTGTAATTATACGAGGTTATATCAATATTTAGCTTTTTACATTTAATGAAAACAAAATAACCAACTTGGTCCTTCTGGACACATCCTTGTATTACCCCACGTGGGGTTAATGAGCCCTGCCAGGCAAAAGTAACGTTTAACACATGTGAATGGTCAAAGTAGGTCTGCATCTTGTCTCAACTTTTACAACCATAACACATACATTTGTTTTCGTACACTAGTACGTTATGTTACAAACCTTTACCAAACGCTGGGTGGTGAGGGTTGTTTGTGCACCGCTTCTAACTATTCCGTAGTTGTTAAAATTTCTTTTCTATTTAAAATAACATAATACTCGACGTCATGGACTACATTAGGTCCACTTCAGTTTACGATCATGGGATTTTCGATTGTGATAGGTACATAGTTTTTCTAACGTGTTTCAGTCATCTAATGGACCTTAACGCGAGTGCATTTTCTTCGGCTGATCCGTAACTTAATACCAAACATAAACAATAACATCACCCCAAAAAGCAGCTGATTCCGACCTACTGAAGGTGAATTTTTCTACGATCAGCTGGCAATCGTAATTAATTTGCGATTGTGCAGGACCGGCATCAAAACTGTTATAATTTTATAATTTTTTATTTTGTTTCAAAAGTCAAAAGTGTTATAACATCTTATGTTCCAAATGTCCGTAGGAATCTGTGGTATAAATATTAATTATTATAACTGGGACACCCTATATAACGAGGGCCGGCACTCCGCTGAACCTTACGGCTTAACACGGTGCAAGTAGGAGAGACTACCCACCTACAAACATTAGCAGAAATGGAACACCAAAAAAATTATAGAAGACCAACAATATCCCTATTCGTCATCATAAGTTCCTGAGACCGAACACACGCACCCCAACTTCTTTCTACCTTGAACAATCTTCTCGTATCCCTATAACTGCAAAAAGTGACCCAATCTACGTCTACCGCTACCCCAAACTAAAGAAGGTCTTCTACCAATCTATCTCGCACCTTTTTATTGACTCTCTGTTCTCACCCAGCAGCATGGTCCAGAGTGTTAGACCATTACATAGAATTCAGCAGAGCACCGGTTCAATTCCGGGTCCGTCTATCCTAATCAAAGTTTTTGTGTGGTTTACAGGAATCACTTAAACAAATGCTAGGGTAATAATATTCCTGATGCGCCTCTAAAGAGCGTCATCAGTTGGGGTTGCTTCCTAACGTTTCGCTAGCAGGAGAGGCTGTTTTCTGTGTTTTTCTATCATTTCTTATACCTCCTCGTTTCTAACCTTCTCTATCCACCGTGCATCGTCCAATTTAGACTCTCAAAAATCCTGAAGGCAAATATTAGACCAATTGTTTCTCTCAAACAATAGAAACAAGACCCACCATGTACTCTTTTTATTTTACGCGTTCGCGAGCAATTAAATTACATGTTAATGACTTGAGGCGTCTTATCTAGCAACTTTCGAGTTCTCCAACTCCCCAAGTGGTATCGTCGACGACTGGTTCAATTAGTGCACCAGCCACGGTGGAGAACTCCTCGAAGGAACTGAAACAAGTGGACGACGGTGGCGAAGAGATGACGACGTCTACCGCGACCGCGATTATTCCGAAAAGGCCGAGCTTGTTGCGAGTCCCCGCCTGCACTTCCAACCAGGACATAGCAATTAACAATATCGAAGTAAGTATAACATTTCGAAAGAATATTATGACATTGTTAGTTACTTAATAGCGGATTAATATGCAATATTAATTTGAAGTCATTTTTTGAATTTTTTTAATTACCCACTACAAACTACCTCAAATTAATGAGGGAAAAATTGTTGCTGTTGTCATACCCCCGCCGGGAATCGAACCCGGGACCTTTGGCTTTACGCACCAATGTTCTGACCACTAAACTACGAGAGATGACAACAGCAACGACGACCAACCGACCTACAAGGTTAACGATACGTCGAATCGAAAAAATGATTTCGAAAGAAAACAAACAAAGTAACATCACAAGACTACGAAAATCTAAAAAGATTTCTTTTATATATTTTTTGTATAAATACTTAACGTCTAACTATCTATCGAGTGACCAACACGAAACAAATCGCAGTCGCCTGCTAAAACATGCAGAAAAGGCCTTATACCTAGACAACTTCTGTTACCCAAAATATTGTTTTTTGTGTCTAGTAAATCACTCTCTACAATGTATTCATATTAAAAAGTTTTCGTTATCATGATATACGAGGTGTGACAATTAAGTTACAGGGATTTGTAAATGAAACACAACCGAATAATAACCCACAGTAGTCACCGTCTAACTCTATACACCATCGCCTTTCCCACCCTTGGAAACACCTTTCGTAGCTGTTTAAAGTTATAGAGTTCATAATCGTCGTCACAGCTGTGTTACCCTCTTCTGCGTCGTCATGATGAGCACCCTTAAGAAGGGATATCACTTTTGGGAAGAGAAAAAGATCGCACTGGGCTCAATCGGGGGTGTAGGGGACTGAGAACAATGTAGGGATGCCTTGTTTTGACCAATTACTCGCAAATCACAATGAAGAAAGCACGAGTGCGTTGTCATGATGAAGAATCCATATACTCGTAATTGAAAATGTCCTGAATATCATTTTGGAGTTGAACTTCGTTGACTGTTCTCATCCCCGTACACATTTTCCAATTTGTGGAGGTATCAAGATGTTTTTTGTCCGATTTTAATAAAAATTGTATCACGACACGTTGCTAGTGATTTCAATTGTTCATTTTTCCGACGTTACTAAAAAATTGATAAAACTGAACGAAACAGCCCACCAACTTCAAACTTCCATCGGTACTAACAGCAACAGAGTAAGTTCCAACCCTACAGCACTGTTAGGTGGAGAATTATAACTAATTTTCCAGAACTTAATTGTCACAACTCGTAAATACACTCAGTGCTTCTAGTTGGATGCCGCCAATGTCCGCGAAATTTAAAAAAAAAAAGATTTTATACCGATTTTCCTTTTACTTTCAGAGCCCCACAAACTTACTGTCGCCGCCGCTTAGCCAGGGTAGCATAAGAAGGAGGTCGTCGGTCATGTTCAGCGACGTAATACTGTTGCACAAGCAAGACGGTTCACCGACGTCACCTTGTTCTTCGGCAGACCTATTAAATAACGAGAACATAGCTTCCACTGAAAAGAAAAACGTCTGTTCCAGCGAGAAAATGACACAGACAGGTAAGGTGGAAGATTGTCTTTTTTTTAATGCTTGTTGAATAAGAAGACGTACGTAGAATATGGTGTAAATAGCTTACAAATAAAATAGTTAAAAAGCAAGAATTATGTTGTAAAACGAAGAAAAATAATTTAAAATATTTACGCATAATAAAAGTAAAACTAAAATATTGGTATGCAAGGGAAGAAAAAGTAGGGAAAGAGCGAATATAAGGATAGGAGACGAAAAATTAGAAGAAGTGGCTGATTTTAGATACCTAGGAAGTCAGATAAGTCAGGATGGAAGGAGTAGTAGGGATATAAAGCAGAGGATAGCGCAGGGTCGTGTCGCCTTTAATAAAAAGAAGTCAC